CCCGCTTATGCAAATGAAGCCCGGGAAATTCAAATACCGGGCTTCATTTGCAAGTGCGGTATGCATACATTACCCTCCTAGTTCGAACTAGCGGGGTAGTGTAGACATACCCAGAGAGAGGAGGGGCCTGCTCAGAATATCCCATAATCCAACACTTTGGACACTCCTCTTGCAATTGGTGAGCTGCAAGTTCAGATCTCTTCTCCACATCAAGCAAAGAGGAGAACTGACCCTGGGTGTCCCACATCATAGGTGAGTATCCCTAAAAGGAGGGCTCCTTCACTACTCCTTGCCCCCTTGTCCTCCTCTGCTTGTGTTACAATATTCCAGATCAAAAGGAAGAATTTTGAGTTGGGTCAAACAAAACGTTTCAATCAACTCAACTCTAACTTCTCAATTTGCTAAAGGTTTGATTTCGGTTTATCAACCCAAAAATATTTTCTGTATTGCCAGCTATTGAAAAATCCATTATTCACCTAGTTCAATGTATGTCCCTTCCCAGCACTGTAACATGCAATAAGCCAGGTGTTAAAACAACCTGCCAGCACCATGTATGGGAGCTGTGGCCAATCATGCTGAGCATGCTGGACACAGTTATGACAGGGCAGCAAAATCTTTACCAACTGCACAGCATAGCTGAAAATGAGCTTCTCTGCTGTGATGCTGTTGATCCGATCCATGAGCTTCTGTTTATCCAAGAAGAATCTCTGGAGTCTCATGTTCAGAGAATGGCAGGCCGACACGCTGGATTTATAAAGCTCATTCAGCTTCTTCACAACTAGGGCCAAAGAAAAAAAATGTTCATCTACACGTCCGGCTTTGCCTCTCTTGCCTACCTCCCCATGCTTCACACCATGGATGTGTGTCTTAAAAGTGTTTTTGTTTCAAGCAAAGATTCACCCGTTCAATATCATAGGGTATGTCTACACTACAGCGCTAGTTCAAACTAACTTAGTTCGAATTAGTTAATTCGAACTAAGCTAATTCGAACTAACGCGTCTAGAACTAAAAACTAGTTCGAATTAGCGTTTTGCTAATTCGAACTAGCAAGTCCACATTGAGTGGACTCTGAACAGGGCTTAAGGATGGCCGGAAGCGGTGCCGGCAGGGCATCAGAGGAGGACTTAGAGCGTGGAGATGCTGTCTCAGGCTAGCCGAGGGCTGCGCTTAAAGGGTCCCAACCCCTACCCAGGACAGAGAGTTCTCAGGGGTGCCCCGCTTGAAAACCACTCCTGGCTTGGAGTGCCCGGAGTGCCCACACTGGGCACATCACACCACTCGGCCATCAGCCTGGCTGCACTTGCCGCAGGCTGCCATCTGGGGAGAGGGGGCAATCGGGGGGCTGCAGGAGAGCTTCCACCCCCAGAAGCCCGCAGAGCCAGCCCAGTCCTCCCCATCGGGGGCTCGTACCCCATTCCTCCCTCACCTCCTTCCACTTACCCTTCCCTAGCCCCCCTTCTTATTGATGTACAAAATAAAGATAACATTTCTCCCAACATTGACTCTGTCTTTATTGAACAAAACTGGGGGAGACTGGGAAAAGGAGGTGGGAGAAGGGAAGAGAAAGGCTGGGAGAGGGGAGGGCAACTAACATGATCAGGGGTTGGGAACAGGCCCCAGATGAAGAGAGGCTACAGAGACTGGGACTGTTCAGCTTAGAAAAGAGGAGACGGAGAGGGGACAGGATAGAGGTCTCTAAAAGCAGGGGTTAGGTGGAGAGGGTGCATTCAGAAAAGTTCTTCCTGAGTTCCCATAAAGAAGGACTAGAGGACACCAAAGGAAAGGAATGGGTAGCAGGCTTGAAACTAGTAAGAGAAAGTTGTTGTTCTTGACAAAGCAAATAGTTAACCTGTGGAACTCCTTGCTGCAGGAGGCTGTGAAGGCTACAACTAGAACAGAGTTTAAAGGGAAGTGAGATAAAGTGATGGAGGTTGGGTCCATGGAGTCCTATTAGCCAGAGGGTAGGAGTGGTGTCCCTGCCCAAAGTTTGTGGAAGGCTGGAGAGGGATGGCACGAGACAAATGGCTTGGTCACTGTCTTCGGTCCATCCCCTCCAGGGTCCATAGGGTTGGCCGCTGTCGGCAGACAGGCTATGGGCTAGATGGACCTTTGGTCTGACCCAGTACGGCCATTGTAAGCTCAGGGCTCAGTGTCGGGGGTCTCAGTGGACCCCCTTGATTTTCATGCACACCTGGTCCTGGGTGGCCAGGCTGGCAGCTCTCCTGCCCTAGACGGCCACTTTCCTGTGCCTAGTGCGGAGATCGTGGACGAGGTCCACGATGTCTGCACTAGACCAGGAAGGTGCCCGCCTCTTGCGGTCCAGGGCAAGCTCCCGGGACATCGGGTGGGTGGCTCTGTGCCGTGCCAGGTGCAGGGTCTGCTAGCTGGGTGCTGGCAGGCTTGCACCTGGCACGGGCACCGTAGCCAGCCCGTGCCCCTTTAAGGGGTCCGGGGCCGGGAGGGGGGCAATAGAGTTTCCCTGGTGTTGGCCAGAGTGGCCACCAGGGAAACCTGGGGAGGGCTAGCCTCCCACTAGTTCGAATTAAGGGGCTACACACCCCTTAATTCGAACTAGCTAGTTCGAACTAGGTTTAATCCTCGTAAAATGAGGTTTACCTAGTTCGAACTAAGCGCTCCGCTAGTTCGATTCAAATTCGAACTAACGGAGCGCTAGTGTAGCGGCTATGAATGTTAGTTCGAACTGACGTCCATTAGTTCGAACTAACATTGTAGTGTAGACATACCCATACAGACTGTGAAATACCCATTACCACTAGGGGCTTTGACTTAGCATCATACAGTAGTTTCACAGCTCTTACATGGAGAGACCCACGCATTCTTCTAGTTCCCATGCCCCCAGATCTAGTTTAAATTCTTTTAGCTGCAACAAGCTAAAATTCCTTGTGAGCACTTTGCGGCACATGCCACCAGGAACAGCAAATACAGCAGAAATGGAGCCTCTCTTATCCAATGACTGGTGGCATGATGCAAACTTGTCTCACATATGGTAGGTGTTGACACTTATAATGCTAAGAGTGAGTGGAGTAATGGAGTAGAGCAGGGAAGTAGCAATTAATTGCTGACCAGCTCTGTAAGGGAGTTTGCTGCTTTCCCAGCTGACTGTACAAGGATATCTCTTTTCCTGCAAGTCAGCTAGGATTTTAAGGCTGCAGGATTGCGTGACAGAGAAGAGCCAGAAGAATTTATTTAAACATTACTGTGCATGCCAGCAATAGCAATCTTAAACAGTGTTCAACAAAGCAAGAGACTGAGATGCTTTTAGTAGCTCTGATACACATCCCAGACCAACCAAGAGATTTTTTCAAAAGCACAGGTCAGCCTGAAGAGCTAATGAGATTTGCTACTAAGGATGTTAGGAATCAGTTAATTAATTAATTGAATAGTCAATAGAATTTACATTGATTACTCAATTAGTCGGTAAGGTGGGGATTGCTCTGCACTTTAACGGCGGTGACCAACTGGCGGGACCAGCAATGAGGCTAAGCAATAAAGGAGCAGCAGGATAAACGGGGGAGGGCAGGGTGTCGCCAGCCCTGTCCATTTCCACTTGAGCCTGCAAATGCCAAGGAGTGAGACACACATCAGGAAAACTCTGTCGAGAGAGACAGGAAGAGAAGAAAAGTTCAAGCTCCCTGAGGCTGAGGCAGTTTCGCCCTCCTTCTCTGCCTTTCTCTGCCTCCCTCTTTTCTGCACCTCTTCTGGTGTGTGCAAACCCAGCATCCCCAATCAGGTTGTGTGGTGGGGAGATGAGATCCTGGCCTGCCGGATTCACAAATCTGCTGCTTCCGGCTCACAAGCTGCCTGTAAACTCCAAACTGTGTATTTCTGTGCAAACTTTGATGTGAGAGAGCCCTGGGAGGGGACAGAAAATGGTAGGGGGTCAGCTTGTTCCTGACACCCCAACACGCGCAAACAAACCAACCTGTGTGGATTTGAGTATCAGAGGGGTAGCTGTGTTAGTCTGGATCTACAAAAGCGACAAGGAGTCCTGTAGCACCTTACAGACTAACAGATGTATTGGAGCATAAGCTTTCGTGGCAAAGACCCACTTCATCAGATGCATCAGATGTGTGGATTTGGTTAGACAAGTGCAGAGTCAGTAATTTAAAAATTGCAGCAAGCATGAGGAACTGGAGAAAGCCCTTTGCTTGCCAGGCTGAGGCAACATCCGGGCCATTCATTCTGGCAGTGCCGGGGTTACCTCATGATGCACCGGCCTGGTTTCTAAATCAGTTCATTCTAATTTTAAGAGTGTGATTGTGAGCGCATGTTTAAAATGGATTAACTCTGGGAAAATGAAGCCAGGACTACTTCCCATGACAATCTGCCTCTCCCCGCCAGGCCTGCAAGAGCAAGGGGGAGCTGGGAGCACCTCAGCTGGTGGGACACTCGAGCACCATTTCTATTAGTAAATGCCAATCACTGCTTCTGTTCAATGCAGCCATTGATAAATCCGCATGGGGTGGCGGAGGCAGGAGGAAACAGCCTTCCAAGAGCAGTCAGCACCTTTCCCCCTGCTTGAGTCAGGAGCTATGCAGCATCCCAAGCCCAAACCCCCAAATAAGGACCGCAACTTACAAGCCTGAAGCTGAAAGTGAGTTCAGACAAGGGAAAGGCTGGGAAGCCAGAGTAAATCATAGAATCCTAAGGCTGGAAGAGACCTCAGGAAGTCATTGAGTCCTGCCCCCTGCCCAAAGCAGAACCAAGCCCAACTAAATCAGCGTAGCCAGGGCTTTGTCAAGCTGGGACTTAAAAACCTCTAGGGATGGAAATTCTACCAACTCCCTTGGTAACCCAATTCAGTGCTTCACCACCCTCCTAGGGAAATAGTTTTTCCTAATATCCAACCTAGACCTTTCCCACTGCAACTTGAGACCATTGCTCCTTGTTCTGCCATCTGTCACTACTGAGAACAGCCTCTCTCCATCCTTTTTGGAACCTCCCTTCAGGAGGTTGAAGGCTGCTATCAAATCCCCCCTCACTCTTCTCTTCTGCAGACTAAATAAACCCAAATCCTTCATCCTCTCCTCGTAGGTCAGTGGTCCCCAACGCGGTGCCTGCGGGCGCCATGGTACCTGCCGGGGCATTTATGTCCACCCGCCGAGCGACCAGGGCCAGCCCAAGCCATTCTTGCGCCCCTGGCCCTGGGCGAGTGGCACATGTGCAGTGCTGGTCCCGGGCGCATGCATGGGCACGGCCCCACCCCGGGCGCGTGCGCAGCCCCGCCCCCGGGTGCCCGGCGGGCGGGGGGCTCAGCCCCCGACCTGCCCCTGGCAGCCCCAAAAGTTTGGGGACCACTGTCATAGGTCATGTGCTCCAGTCCCCTAATCATTTTGGTTGCCCTCCACTGGACCTACTCCAATATGTCCACATCCTTTCTGTAGTGGAGGGCCCAGAATTGAACACAGTGCTCCAGCTGTGGCCTCACCAGTGCCAAATAAAGGGGAATAATCACTTCTCTGTCCTGCCCCTGGCAGCCCCAAAAGTTTGGGGACCACTGTCATAGGTCATGTGCTCCAGTCCCCTAATCATTTTGGTTGCCCTCCACTGGACCTACTCCAATATGTCCACATCCTTTCTGTAGTGGAGGGCCCAGAATTGAACACAGTGCTCCAGCTGTGGCCTCACCAGTGCCAAATAAAGGGGAATAATCACTTCTCTGTATCTTTTGGAAATGCTCCTCCTAATGCACCCTATTATGCCATTAGCCTTCTTGGCTACAAGGGCACCCTGTTGACTCATATCCAGCTTCTCATCCACTGTAATCCCCAGGTTCTTTTCTGGTGAACTGCTACCTGTACTTAGCCAGTAAGCCCCCAGCCAGTAACAATGCTTGGGATTCTTCCATCTCAAGTGCAAGACTCTGTACTTGTCCTTGTTGAACCGCATCAGATTTCTTTTGGCTCAATCTCCCAATTTGTGTAGGTCACTCGATCCTATCCCTGCCCTCCAGTGTATCTACCTCTCCCCCTAGCTTAGTGTCATCCGCAAACTTGCTGAAGGCGCAATCCATCCTCTCATTCAGGTCATTAATAAAGATGTTGAACAAAACTGGCCCTAGAACCGATCTTTGAGGCACGGTGCTTGAAACCGATCGCTAGCCAGACATTGAGCCAGACAATCACTACACGATGAGCCCGACAATCTAGCTTTCTATCCTCCTTATAGTCCATTTTTCCAATCCATACCTCTTAACTTGCTGGCAGGTGGGATAACTTGCTGTATCAAAAGCTTTGGTAAAGTCAAGGCATATCACATCCACTGACTTCCCCATGTCCACAGAGCCACTTACCTCATCATAGAAGCTAATCAGATTGGTCAGGCATGACTTGCCCTTGGTGAATCCATGTTGACTATTCCTGATCACTTTCCTCTCTTCCTAGTGCCTCAAAATGGATTCCTTGAAGATCCCTTCCATGATTTTTCCGGTGACTAAGGTGAGGCTGACCAGTTTATAATTCCCTGAATTGTCCTTCCCTTTTTTAAAGATGGGCACTACATTTGCCTTTTTCCAGTCATCTGAGACCTCTCCCAATCTTAATGAGTTTTCAAAGATAATGGCCAAAGGCTCTGCAATGACACCTGCCAACTTCCTCAGTACCCTTGGATGCATTAAATCTTGACCCATGAATCTGTGTACATCTAGCTTTTCTAAATAGTTCTTATCCTGTTCTTTCCCCACTGAGGGCTGCCCACCTCCACATGCAGGGAGCCCAGGACATGTAATGTCTCCCGTTATGTGATTTATATTGATCCCGTGCTTATTAACCATGGCTATAATCATAGTCAGGGTTCGACAAACTATACAATCTACTCGCCCGTTGTGAGTAGATTTCAGCCGTTCATTCACGGCGCGCACATGTGCAATGCGGCTTTTGTTCATGTGTAGTATGGGGCTGGCGAGCAGTTTTTGCCGCTGTTTGTCAAGTCCTGATCATAGTCATAGACTCTACTGAACCAGTACACACATGTACTTATAACAGTGGCCTCAGCTTAACCGTTGGGAAACTCCCACTGGCCCCCGGCTGATGCAGTATTTCCTTTGGCCACTGCTTAACACCTGAACAAACACAGTGAAGCTAGAGTCACTAAGCAGGGAGAGCTGAGCACTGTGGCCTCTGTGGGAAAACTGCTCTGCAAAGGCTAACTTGCACCCAATGGCTTTCTGAGCTTTTCAGACACTGAAGACGAAAAGGATTTCTAAGTGGTAAGGAGGACATTTAGCTGCATGACTTTCCATTTACATGAACGGAAACTGTGTAGCCAAGTCCCTCTGCTGGCCACTGCAGAAAGCAAGTGTGTGCAGTTATTCAAAACCCCCCCCCTAAAGTAGAGAAGTGATTTTCAAAGGCAGGAAGCTATGTTAGATGGCAGCCCAGGGGAGATGGGCATCTAATTACCCTTGATGTCTTGAGAGGCTCCCCCAATAGCATTCTAATGCTAAGACAAAATCCAGGTTTTTACTGAATAGTGGTCACTTTGTGCAATGACCAGTGACATGTAACATGCAAGAAACAATAGAAGGCTGTAATAGGGTGATAAATAAATAGCTTTCTGAGTTGCCACCAGGTATTGCTATTCCCTGTTTTTTTTCTTTCTTTCACTTGAAAGTCACCATTGCCAAGAAATTACTCAACTTGCCAAGTAAGCACACACTAAGAATACATCCACTGTGTAATTAAGTTGCACTCCTGTCATGTATAATTAAGCACCTGTGTATAGAGAGGTACAGAGATATTCAGATGAGATGTTTTCTTTTTAATTGGCGGTGAAGAGTCATACAGGGGCACAAGGGGAAATCTGGGATCCTGCATAAACTGTCATGTGAGAAGCACATCCCTTGAGGTATATGAAAAGTATCCCTGAGGAAAGACCGGAGGCTGAACGCAAACTCTTACTTCTGAGAGTAACCTTGCTTAGGTGGGTAGTGCATTTATCCTGTGACTCCTCATTCTGAGTAAGGTTTTGCAGAACTAGACCTCATGTGGTTCTGAAAACCTTGAGGCGTTTATTTGCTGAAACCAAATGCAAATATTTTGGTCAGACAGAATACCAATTTCTAGCTGCAGTGGTAGAATCCCTAAATTGCTGGATTTCCAGTCTGGAACACGCACAGGATGGACCCTTTTCCACCATTTACAAAGAAATCTTCAGCTGTCTTTTC